TGTGCGCACATACGCCTCCGCAGCCCCTACACAGGCATCATACCCTATCTTCCGTCGCCATCCCCCCGGACAATCATCCGCCCCGCCCGCCCCCCAGCACTGCACTGCCCTTGATGCGCCTGTTGTCGGGGGGAAGGGGAGTGGGTGCCCTGTTCGTTTATTTTAATTTTTTGTTCGCCTGCGCTTTCGTTTTTATGCAGCAGCGCCAGACAGAGACAGACATAGAGGGGCGGTAGAGCAATAGCGAAAGAAGGAGCGCGCCCGAGAGGAGTTCTTTGGACCCCTCTAGTGCTGTTGTGCCTGATACCCTGGCAGAGTGCAGTATGATGATTTTTCTCTCTTCCTGCCAAAAAGGACTGGCAAGAACTAACCTCGAACTGCCTGTACAGCCAAGTACAGGGTATCTCCTATTGGACTACAGGCTTCTCTAGCGTTGTTTCTGTTTTGGCTTTGCTTTCTTTCAGTCAACAGGCAACATTTGCCAGCCCTCCCCTCTTTTATGGGCGCGAGCACTCCCACACGCTGCTCGATGCTGCTCTGCCTCTGCCTCGGTCCCTGCCTCGGTCCCTGCTCTCCCATTTGGCTGCATGCTGCTCAATAGGTCTTGCGCTTGATAGGTCAGTGACCCAGTGGGATGCTGATGATGACGTTGCGCTAGGGCAGTGTCAGCAACAGCAGCAGCAGCAGCAGCAGCAGCAGCAGCGAGGGTTGACAGAAAGCTTTTCCGATGTTTAGTTGGTTTTTCGAAAATCAAAGTCAAAGGGGCAGGCACCTCCGCCCGTCCCAGCCCGGGAACAGCTGCCTGCACACACTGCACTGCGGTTGTCCTGTCCCTCCCCTCCCCTCCCCGCCCCTGCCCCAGCCCACTCCTTCGGCTAACAGCATCATCATCATCGTGTTCTCTCACTTCTGCTGCTGCTGCTGCTTCTGCATCTTCTTGTTCGTTTTCTTTTACGTTTTTTTCCCCCGATTTCTTTTTTGCCTTTTCCACAAAGTCAACGTTCTTGACGTTTTCGCAGCTGCCTTTGCCGGAGAGAGAGAGGGAGATGAGATGGGAGATGGGAGATGGGCTGTGACTGAGAGTAGGCCCTATGCTGGAGGGAGTGTATCCCTGTGTCTGTGTGTGCGTGAGATTGCGGCACATGTGACGCTTTGGTCGCGTGCTGCTCCGCTCTTTGCTCTTCCTCTGCCCGCGGCGCAGCCCTGGCCCCAAGGGCTCGCTTCATTTGCTGCTGCTGCTGCAATTGGCATGGGCACGGCCGAAGGGGGGGTTGTGCAAAAGGAGGGAACAAGCATAGGCATGGGTAGGGGCATGGGCATGGGCATGGGCATGGGCATGGGCATGGACATGGTCATGTGCACAGGGTGATTGGGGGTAGAGGCAGCTGTTCTTATCAAGAGCAGGTCATCGAGATGCCAGATGCTGATTGCGGGCGGGGGCAACAAAACGGGGCTGCCTCAGAAAGTGTAAGTGGGTAAGGGGCACTTAAATGATATTGGGGCCAGCGATATCCACATCCTGGCAGGCATCTTCGATGGGCCTGCTGCCAAAAGTGTATCGCGATTTATAATAGCTTGTATAACACTTTACGCACAGGCCGCACAAACTATCTTTATGCGCCTCCCGTCTAGCCCTCGCCCTCCCTCGCCATCTCTCGCCCTCTCTCTCTCTTTCTCTGGTTAAGTGATGAAACGGCAAGCGCTTAATTTAACGGTAATTTGTGTAGAACAGACAGGCCTACTCCCTCCACACCGCTACTCCTACGCTACTGCTCTGCCACGCTCCTCCTCTCTGCTTTTGTCGTTCGCTGCGCTGCACTGCGCTGCGCTGCGTCGCTGTTGGCGCTGCACAGGCGCACAATTTACAGTTGTTTAGCCGCTCTCCGCCTAATTGATTGCTCTCGTTGTTGCCGCTCTGCTTATGAATTATTATTTCTTTTTATTGAAGCAAGCGTCGGCAGCGGCAGCGAGTGCAGTCAAAACAAGAGACAACGCTACCAGCGAGTGAGCCGACCAGCAGATACCCTGTACGTGGCAGTCGCCACTGTTCGCAAATCTCACAAACCTGAGCTCCATCGAATATCACATCACCCTCTCGGGTCGGCAAAGGGTATGGGCAACGGCAACGGCAACAACACAATTTAATGCAGAAATTTATTTGTTTTCATTGTTGTTGCTGCAGAAATTGTGTAATAAATAATTTACGCTCGCTTTTGCAGCGTGCCACATAATCATATTCAATAATAATAAAAGCACCAACAGCCGTATGGGCGGGGCCGTGCTTGGACCCACTCGATAGGGACGGCGGTGGCGGCGGCGGTGGCGGAGAGCGGCGGAGCAGCTCGTTTTGGGTCGCTGACCCAGAAATGTCAAACGGGGAAGTCGTTTTTAATTTTACTCTTTACTTGCTGTGTCTCTCTCTCTCTCTCTCTCTCTCTCTGTCTGTGTTATTTGCTTATGGTATTGTGATATGATTTTTATTGTTTCATTCCGTTTCTTCATATCGGACTCGCAGACCTATCCCAAACCCTGGTGGATCAGCAAAGCCTACACTTTTCTATAATCCTTGTCTCTTGGGTTGGGTGGGGATATCAGTTATTCATGGGATAAACCTAGAACCCTTAATCTTTTGGATATTTAATCAGAAAGCCACTAACTCTTTTTGAAATGAAATTTCTTTAAGGATATTCCTTGAATAGAGCACAAATCGAACAATAGTCGATCCAAGAAACCTTCTATTTTGCCTCGGAATCGCCTCAAGACATAACCTTCCAGTATAACTCAATGGATTTCATCATATCTATGAAGCTTACTGCATATATTTCCCCCCCACCCGACCTTATCTTTAACATTCATTTCGACTGTCGTGTTTCACCCATCTCTTATCCAAGTTTTCTGTAGTTTTGTTTTTTGTTCGAGGAGATGTCTCCTCATATTTCGCTTAATCAGTTCCACACAGAAATCAACAGGCATGTCCCCATACTTCTCCCCCACTGCCGTAGCCCTCCCCTCCCCTCCCCTCCCCCGTTCTTTGTGCAACCCTCTAGAAATTGGAGTCCCAAATGAAAAAGCTTCGAGCTGCAAAAAATCCAAAAGTAAAGCTAAAAACAAAGTCGAAAGCATACAAATCGAGCCCCTTTTTCTGTTCCTTTTCCCCGTCCACCCCCTCCCGCCTTAAGAACCTTTTTTTCTCCTCTTTGCTTTGGACTTGTTCGCTTGTTGCATGCTCGTTCATGTTCATGTTGGACGGCCTGTGTGCAAGAGAGTATTTTTTTTATTATGAATTTCATCACATTGGGCAATCCCAGCATAATGCATCGGATGTTCTTTCTTATCGCATGTAATCAGCTCTATTTGACCTCCTTTGAACCCGTTTTTAAGGGATATTTGAATGAAATTTGGATAGAAATTACATAATTAATGGATAATGGATAAGTCTTTTTTTCAGTTGGTTTTCCTTAACCCCAGATGCTCTTTCGTCGTCGAATCAATGATCTTTCAGTGTAAAGGGGGTTCTACGATCCGTAAAAAATAAAAAATAAAACAAATAAAACAAATAATAATAATAAAAAATAATAATTGTTTCTGTGTCAAAAATCTCAAAAAACAGTCAAATTTCTATCGTATTTCGACTAATCACCAAATATATGTTCCAAATAAAACCCAAAAATATAAATTTTCTTAAAATCTTTTTTGTTTTATTTCGTAATTCCTTTGATTTTCTTAATCTTAAAATTTTCGCGCGCAAATTTTATTGTAGAGAGTCTGCAAGAAAGAGAGAGGGAGAGAGAGAGAGAGTGAGTGGGGGGGCAGGGATGGGGAGACAAGCATAAGCCTGTTTACAGTGGGCTTGAGAGCAAAACTGGTTTTGAAGTCAATTTTTTTTTTTTTAATATGATGAAATTGATCCAAAAGTAACATAAATTAAAAATGTAATAAAAAACCAATCAAATCAAGTTATGGAAAGTCCTGTGCTACTCTGTGAGACATGCTACTTATTCTTGTGGGCAGTTTTCCTACATTTCAGCACGTTTTCCTCCATTTTTCGTATCACTTATATACTCCTATTTCTACTACTCTTTTTTAGGCTCTTAAAAACGCTCTGCTCTGCCGCACTAGAAGAATAAAAAGAGAGCCGGACAGAGCCCCAAGAGCAGAGCGCTGCACAATCGTACTTTTTGTTTTGCTTTAACGTTCGCTGGGCAGCGCTGCTCCCAGTGCTGTTACTGCGCTGCCGCCTGTTACCTGCTCAACAAGATCTTTGTGCACTCTCTCATGCATACAGACGCACACAGGCAAACACATGCTCGCACAAGAACCGCCTGCCTGCCCTGCCCACTCACTCTCATTTGGAAGAGATTTTTTATACTCTTTGCGCGCCCCCTCCAGCTACCTGCTTGCATGTGCATGTGCAAGAGCCACAGCCAGAGCAAGAGAGGGAGCGAGAGCGAGAGAACACAGCAACAGCAGCAGTAGCAGCAGCAGCGGCAGCAGCAGCAGAGTGCACTGGCTGCCTGCGCCTACTCTGCGCTGCTCTGGCGGACTGCTCTGTCGCCTCGCTGCCGCCTAGCCGCTGAGCCGACTGTGCCGACTGTAGTTTGAGGCGCCTGCCGCCGCCACAAACAGTTTTTAGCCGCGGAGCCAGTAAGACGTGTTCACTCCCCAGCCCGAAGACAGTTTCCAGATCTCTGGAAGCGTTCTCTCTTGAGTCTGCGACACACGAACACACACACGTTTTAAGTACTTCGACGAAATAAAACAAACCCCCATCCCGATATTTTTTGTGTTTTTAAATAAGTTCTCGAAAAAGTTCTTTATGAAAAATGCAAAAGAATTGAAAAAACAAAATCAAACAAAAGAAAAGAAAAACAAAACTAATGCAAATACATAACCAACTCTGAGTGAAATCCAAAAAGAAAACTGCACAAAAAATGCAAAAGTTTCTAATTTTCAAAATCTTGCACAAGAAATACAAAATAAATTGAGTGAAAAACGCAAAAAGGAACCAACGACGAAAAGAATAACAACCAAAACGAACGAAGAACAATAACAAAGAGCCAGGCTAAAAAAGGAACAGAACAAGAAAGAAGGAAGAAGGAAGAGGAAAGCGGAAAGCAGAGCCAGGCAAAAGCAGAAAGCGCAGGACACCCATCCCCCACCCCTCAAAATACAGACGCGCACAATGGCCGTGCCCTTTTATCTGCCCGAGGGCGGAGCCGATGACATCGCCTCGTCGGGCGCCTCGGGCTCCTCTTCGGGCGCATCCTCGTCGGGTGCCTCCACCTCGTCGGCAGGTTCCTCGGACGGCGCCAGCAGCATTGCCTCCCAGTCCCCCAACACCACCACATCGGCCACGCAGACGCCGATGCAGTCCCCACTGCCCACGGAGCAGGTGCTCTACGCCCTCTGCCAGTGGGTGCGCCACTATCACAGCCAAACCCAACAGAACGGTAAGTCCAAAAAGATCTTACGCTCAAAAGTAGCTCTCCCCAACGACAAAGCCACCCTTAAGCGGGTTTTGAAGGTTCCATTGGAATCCAGTCGGACCTTTCCCTCAGAATCTGTTTTCCGGGCTACTTTCCGGGCCTTGCACATCGAAATGGGTCAGCAATTAGCCAAGTTTTGTATTTCTTGTCGACTGCTTTTCAGTCTTCCTCTTGGCCAAGTTTCACTTTTCAAGGCTGGGCTGTTGACTGACTCATCCCGGTTTTGTTTGGTTTTTTTGGGTATGGTCAGGACAGAGTTTTGTCCGAGGGAGGAACATGAAATTTGCATTAAATTACATTCGCTTGCACACGAAAAGAGGCCGCAAGCGAATATTGTAATTGTAATTCAATAAAAATTAATCGAACAAGTGTCCAAAGAGGGGGAAAATTGAGAGGTTATTGAAAGGTTTCCGCTTGGGGGAGCCCACTAAATGGGAAGACACAGAAATGCCTGGCCCAGATTGGATTTCATTGGATCTATCATTGGATCTTCGTTGGTTCTTGAACCACAAATGTGGCAGAACAGGAAGGGAATCCCTCTGTTGAGGGTATATTTACGTGCACTGATTGCCCATTCTATAATTTGGATTTCCATGCAATAAAATACTCGTAAAAAAGCCCATAAGGAGCAGCGGTGGAGAGACGGGTGGGTGGGGGGCTGCCTGACATGCAACAAAAAGTTGGGCGTGTGCTGCCAAAAGAGAGCAAAAAAAAAAACAAAAACACAAAGAGCCAACAGCTCTAAGCCACGTTTAATTGGCACGCGCCAAAAGCCCGAGTCGAATGTCTTATTCGAGTATCTGAATATATGTATATCGGGCAAGCAGATATGTATCTCAATCTCTTAACCCGGCCCCAGTATCTGTTACAGCCAGCCAGAGTCGTAACCCAAATTATTAAACGCCATTTGACCTTAGGCAACTAGTTTGCCAGCGCAAAGGGGGCAGGAGGCGTGCCAGTGGTGGGGTGTGGGCCATTTGCAAAGTGTTTGGCTTAACGGTGGTTTAAGTAGCTTTTGTGTAGCCCGCGACTCGCCCGCGACTCGCCCGCGACTTGCCCGCGACTCGCCCGCGTTGAGTGCGGTCAGTTTTTGTTCATGTTTGCTTTGCGGTTTTTCTTGCTGTTTTGTTTTTCCGCCCGTTTCCCCTTGGTTTTTTCTTGATGTGTTTTTGTTGTTTTTTTTTTTTCTCTCTGTTCGCCTTTTGCATAATAGATTTTTGTCGCTGTGGCAGCTGTGGTCGCCATACCTCCACCTATATCTGTGGCTGGACAATACATTATTCTGCATCTGTCAGCAACAGTTGGTCAAGCTCCAGAAGAGGGCTCCCTGCCTTGGCGTTTTCGTCGTGAGTCACTCGCGGGGGGAAGAGGGAAGACCTGTAAACCCTTCCCTTGCTAATTTTGATTCTAATTGACTTTCTTTCTTGAACAAAAGACCTTTTAGCGCGCACTCAAACACCAGCTAAGCATTCCCCCACGTAGGAGGCTGCGGTTACATTAACCCCAGCTTTAAAGCCGCGTAGGGGCTGCTGTTTCTGCGCCCCTATTGGGGCGAGGGGTGGCCATCCACTCAAGTGGATAATTTATCTAATAGTGACACATCCCCGAACTAGTGAACAATCCTTTAAGCACTCGAAACAAAACCCAAGCTAAACTCCCGTTAACCCTTTTTTTTCTATCATATCATCATAGGGCATTGGGCAGGGGGGGTGGGGCAAAAGCCTCTACTCTTCTGGCCCTAAGATGCGCTTAGTCATCATCATCATCATCGTCGTCGTCGTTGTCGTCGTCGTCGTAGGCCGCTAGGAACCCACCCTAAAGGACCTAAAAATACCCGAGCAAACAACCCCGAAACCGTAACTCCACTCCTAAATACCAAAAGAGCTTCTCTCCCAACAGCAGAAACCCATAAAGAGGTGGTCGTGGTGGGGTGGGGTGGTGTGGCCCTTTGTTCGGGCGAGGCTTAAGCGGCGCCCAGCCACTGCCATGGGGAGGAGGCCCAACAAAAGGTGCAATGACAGCAGCATCCTGCTGCCCGCATCCTAACCTCAATTCACGGCCTCTCGCTTTTGGCCTCGCAATTCGCATCATTCGCTGGCTCCGCTTTGGCTGGCTGGTTCGCTGTTGCCAACAGCTGTTGCTGCTAGGCGTTGTTTTCGCTGCCGGCGTCGCAGCCGCACTTGACATTTTCAACCATTTTGTTTTGCTCGGCAACTTCGTGGCCGAAGTTGGCGGCGCCAACGGTAACGGTAACGGCAACGGCAACGGCAACGGCAACGGTAATGGCGGCAAATATGGCGACCCGTAGGCTCCGCTTCCTGCCTGGCAACACGCGACAGCTGACTGCCGTCTCCTAACGGGATTGTGCGCACACACACAGAGAGAGAGAGAGAGAGAGAGAGCGAAAGAAGAGAGTGTGGGCCTCCGATTAACCGCAAGTTTTTACACTCATTTTTTTGTACAGCCTAACCCAAGAGGAGGAGGCGGCGGAGGTGGCGGAGGAGGAGCATTTTGCATCTCGATTTGTATGGCCTGTTGCCAGGCTGATTTCTATATACATATATACCACATATATTCGTATCTGTATCTCTGTATCTGCATCGCTGTATCTGTATCTGTTTCTGCTTCTGTTTCGCTTTTCTCTCTTTCAGCTTTTAGCGATTTTTTTGTGGCTTTACATTGACCGTGAATTCTGTTCTTCTTCTCTGTTGTTTTCCTTCCTTCCTTCTCTCTGTTATGCAAATTGTTTTTATTGTATGGTCTTCTCTTTTGGCTTGGCTTGGCTTGGCTTTTTTCGTTGCAATTGTTTTTGATTTCATTTAAGTTTATTCGCCTTTTTTCCTGACTATTTTCTTTCGTCATGGGTTTAATGGCTTCATAAATTCCCCATAAACATTTTTGATGATCTGCTGAAAAGTGTGGAGTGGCCCCTCCCCGCAGCAGCTGCGACACAAATCGAAGTTCTCTTGGCCAAATATTATTTGAGCATAAAATCTGAAAGTAGTTTGCCAGCAGCTGTGGCGGCAGGAAAGGATTTCGGATTTCGGTGGGGCTTTAAGATGCCATGTTGTGGGGTTTTTTCACTCAAAAATCCATGTGCCACAGAAGCTCTTCCCCTGCACTTGAAGGCTGCAACTGTGCTTGCAACTATTTCTTTTGAAACACAGAAGGGCCCCCGTGTTGGCCCTTGTTTACTTTTCGCACCATTCAGCGCAATGAACTTTAGACATTTTTCAAGTTTAAATGCCCGCCAGGCACTTTGCCTAATAGGAAAGAAGAAAAATAGCAAAAAACCTGACACTTTTCGAGTCAGTTGCAACACTAAGAAAAGGAGCCACTAAAGAGCAGCGACATGATATCGCCGCCTGCTGCTGTATCAAGCGTAGACACTGTCCTTCCGTCCGTCCGTCTGTCCGTCCGTCTGGGCCGTCGCCTAAGTTGGCTTTTGATTAAGTCTCCGCTGAGGCCGTGCTAAATTGTTTGCATTGAAGCGTTCGGGTTAAGTTGCGGGGCCTGTGGGGCGGGCGGGGGGGCGGGGAGGGGCTGTGTTAGTGGCTCTATGGTCTCGCCTTTGCTGCTGAAAACGTGCTCAAGTTTTTGTTATGAAATTGAGCCTAGACAACCCATCCATCCATCCAGCATCGCTGGCTGTCCTTGTCAACGCAGACTCCAAGCGACTCCTTTCACACACAGAACAGAGCAGAACAGAACAGAGCCAGGCAAGCGTGCTGGCTGGGGACAAAAGAACTTGTGCTCAACGCTCAGGGCCAGAAGTGGAAAAGGATATGTATCAAAAGGCGGAAAACTAAGAACAGGATATGCTCTCACACACACACACACACACACACACACAAGGAGCTGCTGCTGCCGTCTGCTACTTGTTATAATTGGCAAAGGTGGCAAATGCCCAGACAGGAGACAGAAGTTAACTTTAAAATCTGTACTCTGTTGAAGGCAACAAGCCCAAAGGAACATTCAAGCCAAGAAAGTGAGGGAAATGTTCTCCGAAGACTGAGAGAGCGACTTGTCGATACATGTACTTGTTCCACCCCTTCCCCCCATGCGCCAGAGATAACCCTTTGGCCACGCCACCTATGAGTGGTCGCCGCGAATGACGCAGCAAAGACACCGAGTCTGGCCCGTTCCATTCATTTATTAATAACTTTTTTTGTACTGTTGTTTTTTTTCTTGCTGCTGCTGTTAAAACGTGCAGTTTGTCGGTTTTTTTAAAATTATTTTAATTGCGTTTCATCTGATCGAATGCTGGCCGTACAATTTTATTTTATTTTATTGTTTAATTGTGATTTTTCGCATTTACGCCGTTAATTGCGGCTGGGCGGGAGGAGCACCCAAGAGGTTCGTTTTAATCAACTGTTAAATGCTTTTTGCTCGTTTGAAAGAAATAAATGTTTGGCATAAATGGTAATGGAAATGGGGAAAAAAGGTTAAGATTTATGACGCAAGTTATGTTTTTCAATGCAATCAACGCGAACTAGAAGTCCAGGGATATCCATTTTCGAAATACAATAAACAAACGTTTTAGCACTCGAATTTAAAGATTTTTATGTAAATTAAAAACTATTATTTTGAGTAATTTTTAGTTGATTTTTTGTGGTATTTTTCGTGGAAAATTAAATAAAATTCAATTGAATTATTGCCTTTAATTTTCTTATTATTTATTATTATTTTCTAAGCATTTTTTGTGGGTTAAATATCTGCCCGACCCCATATGCCTGGCATCTTGTAGTATTTTCTGTGTTTGTATTTCAGTATTTTTTTTAGGACTTTTCTCTAAACCAATTTTTATGTGTATTGCATGGGGCTTTAAAGCTGATGCAGCCGGTTATATTTTAGTGCCTCATCTCTCGCTCTCTCCCTGCCATATATCCCCGAACCGAATGTCCTGCAGCGCGAACACATGCTCCTTGGCTGTGGCAGTGGCAGTGGCTGTGGATGCCAGCCAA